AGAGAGAGAGAGAGAGAGAGAGAGAGAGAGAGAGAGAGAGAGCACAAATAATCCACAATATATAGCTAAGAATATTGGCTAGAAACAAGTTTGTCACCAAAAAATCTGCACAGGTATGGATGCAATGAAGTCTCAGGTTGCAGTCTGGTGCCTGGCGAGGTGTTTGTACTTACTCTTGTCTACTGAGCTGTATTAAAGGGAGGGTGGATACTTCTTCAACTCCTTCAGTTGGTGTTTGTTTCCATGAGCTGGAAGTCTAATCCCAGGTCTACCACTGAGCTATATGCACAAGTAGAAAACGTTGAGGTAAAGTTTTAGAGAAGTCCAGGAAAACAATACTCAGAATGAAGTGTGAGTGGAATAAGCAAGTTGAAGCTAGTCCTGAAATCTGATGTAGAAGTGCTGACTGTTTGATAAAACTTGAACACTTGAATACCTTGACTTGGACTCATAAATACCCTCGATTTGGGAGCAGCCTGTGTTGTATTTCTGTTCTGTTTACTCCATCATGTGCTTTAGAGGCATCATCAGCTTCTTCAGTGAAGGGGGATTTATGTGACAGGAGCTTCTCTCCATGATACAGTTTCACACTGTATTTAAGTCATTTAAGTAGCTTCCCACGTTCCTTGTTCCCATTCCCAGAAAGCACACCCCTAAGCAGAAACTACTGCTTTAGATTACCTCTGCCTGTCCTTGACTTCATGGAAATACACTCATACAGTGTGTTCTCTGTGTCAGTTACCCTAGTTGCCTGTAGCTTGAATTCTAATTGGTCTTAATAATAAAAACCCAGAGTCAGATATTGGGGGTGAATGCTAAAGGCTCAGAGAGGCAGTGCAGCCAGTCACTAGTGAGACCTTTTATCTCAACCAATGCTCAGTCTGAAGGGACCATCTTGTCCTCAGACTTCAGAGACTTTGTCCTCTGACTGCAACTGTCTCCACCAAAACTCAGACTGCACTGAGCTCCTGTCTCCTTCTGCCTTACAATTCTCCCTCCACCCAGCCGTTATCAGTCCTGGCTCCACCTCCTTATTGCTGAGATTAAAGGTTTGTATTCCCAAGTGCTGGGATCACCTTTGTGTGAGCTCTGTTTCTCTTTTAGACAGATTCAATCTTATGTAGCCCTGGGTGACTTTGGACTAACAGAGCGGTGCCTCTGCCTCCCAAGTCCTGGGATTAAAGTTGTGTGCCACTACTCCCTGGCCTCTAGTGGCTTAGCTCTGCATTCTGATCTTCAGGCAAGCGTTATTTGGTTAAAACCTAAACACTCTCTCATGTGTGAAAAATCTCTGTTGTTGCTGAATCAGCACTTCAGTCTTTCTGTTTTAACTGAAGTTATTGACATATGAGGTGAGTATATACTTAATTTCGTGAAAATAATCAAACTTTTTTTCAGATTAGCTAAAGCAATTTGTATTCCCACAAGCACTTTTCAAAACCCCATTCACTCTATGCTTTCACCAACGTTTGCGGTTACAGGGTTTAATGCCAGCCATTCCGTTGGCATGTGTTATGACATCCATGCAGTTTAATTTTTAATGTCTACGACTGGCTAAGATTTTGGAGCTGCTGTAGATTCCAACCTATTGCATTCATTCATGTGGTTAGCAAAGGTCCCGCTGGTCTGTCATCCTCCAACTCTTCCTGGCTTGTCCTCAGGTCCAAACCAGAATTGGCAAATTGTCCCTAGTTCACGTAGGTAGAGACCTTTCCATCCCCAGACTTGAACACACTCCTGCCTTGTCAGCTGTCTTCAGCCACACAACCTCAAAGGTCTATGCTTTCCAAATGTGTGAATCTTGTTTCTTGTCACTCTAGTGGGAACATCATTGACCTCCATGATCCACGCCCTTACCCTGGACAGTGGGAGTCTTTTCCCTGACTCTTGAGTCAGTTTTGGTAAGTCATATATTTCCTCTCACTTTTCACAGTTTATCCATGTAATGTTGGTTGTGATATCCTCTGATTCACCTAGATTTTGCTGTAGCATCTGGTAAGTTGTTCCATCGCTCTTTATTCTTGATGGATTCTTCCGCATGTGTCAGTTTTATCACCTTGTATTGAGTTTCACTTTTTGGCATGGTTGGGTATCTCCTTTGTGACTGTGTTTCCTTCTTTTCTCTGTAAATTTCTTCCTTTAACTCTGTTTTCTTCCTCTTTCTTCCCTATTTAAGCTTGCTGTGTTGCACTTTAAACTCACTAAATTATCAGTAATTCTTTTATTTTTATAAAAGCATAAAATTCTGTAAGTTTCACAGACATTGATGGTACTGTTTCCTTCATGTTTTGATACTCAAAATTTTCATTACTGTTTACTTTTAAATATTTTCTCTTTAAAGCATGCATGTCTGAGTTTTCATAGTTTTGAATTCAACTTTTATTTGCAATCACCACCATCTGAATGCAGTTATAAGAAATAATCATATAGCAAATATACCTTTTATCAAGGGTCCCTCATGGTAAAGTCACTCAACACTACAGTACAACACCACATTGACATTTGTACATTCAGAACACAAACACTGCAGCACAGACATCTCTCCTGTGCGTCTTTCTAGCTGTGCTCATTCCTCATTACTCCATCTTTCCTTAACTCCAATAGCAACTAATCTGCTGTTCATTATAATGGCCTTACCATTTCAAGAGTATGTGTAAGTTGCAGTGTACAGACTGTGACATCAGGGGCTGACATTTTTCCTTTTGCAGAATTCTCTTGGGATTTATGAAGGTATTGTGTGTTGTTGTGTGTATATAAAATATCCCTTGGAGGTTCATGTGCTGAAAACTTGGTCCTTGCAATGTATAGAAATAATGCATCTTAAAAAGGGTACAGATTATCCAGACTCTGACAGAATACATGAATTAATCCATGGATAGATTTGTGGTTTTATAACTATATTGGAAAGTGGTAGAAACTAAAGGAAGTGGCCTAGTTACAGGAAGAGTGTTAGGAGAGGCATGTTTGAAGACTTTGTTTAATCTACCAGACTCTTCCTCTCTGACTCCTCTCCCTCTCTGCTTCCTGACTGTCATGAGGCAGGCAGGAGTTACCCACTGTGCCTTTCCTCCATGATGTTTCTGACCTAACATTGCTAAACTTGACCTTCTCCAGTTCTACCTTTTCTTTTACAAGTGACATAATTTTGTTCTGTGCTGTTTCACGATCATTGCTTACAGTTTCAGAGATAAAGGACTACTTTTATCGTCATGGCAGGAAACAGTGCCTGAGAGCTAAATTGTGATATGAAGGCCAAGATAGAGACACTGAGCTTGGCATGAGCTCTGGAAACCTGCTCCCATTAACAAAGCCCACTCCCATTAACACTGTCCCTCCAACAAGGCCACACTTTCAAATCTTTCTAATCTTTCCCAAATAGCACTGGTGCCAAACATTCAAATGTATGAGCTTATGGGGGCCATTCTTGGTATTTGAGAGCAAATGATGCCAACTTGATCATGGTTGATGATCTATTTTGCTTGAATTTTGTTTGTAACACTTTTGCAGAGAATGCTTGCATCTGTGTTCATAATGGAAATCAGTCAGCAATTCTCTTTCTTTATTGAGTCTTTATGTGATGTAGGTATCAGGGTAACTGTGGGCTTGTATAAAGAATTGGGAAATGTTCCTTGTTTCTTTTCTGAGAAATAATTTAATGAGGTTGGTGTTAATTCTTCTTTGAAAGTCTGAAGAATTCTGCCTTCTAAGCATCTGATCCTGGACTTGTTTTGGTTGGGAGATTTAATTACTGCTTCTATTTCATTAGGGCTTATAGGTCTGCTTAAATCACTTGTTTTATCTTCATTTAACTCTGGTATTTGATATATATCAAGAAAATTATCCATTTCTTTTAGATTTTTTTTAGTTTGGTGGAGAACAGGCTTTTAAAGTTGTTCATATGATTAGCTGAATTCCATATCTGTAGTTATGTCTCCCTTTTGTCTCTAAATTTTGTTAATTAGGATATTCTCTCTCTGCCATTTAGTTAATTTGGATAAGGGTTTGTCAATATTATTGATCTCAAAAAATCGATTTTGTGTTTCATTGATTGTTTATCATTTGTTTACTTGTTTCCATTTTACTGATTTCATCACTGAGTTTAACTATTTCTTGCCATTTACTCCTTTTGGGTGATTTCGTCTTTCTGTTCTAGAGCTTTCACACGTGCTATTAAATGCTGAAATAAGATCTTCCAATTTATGTATATCTTAGTGTTATGAACTTGCTTCTTACAGCTGCCTTCGTTGTTTCCATAACTTTGAGTATGTTCTGTTTGCATTTAATTCTAAAAAGTTTTTAATTTTTTAAAAATTTCTGTCTTGACCCATTTTTCATTCAGTAGAGAGTTTCATGAGCTTGTAAGCTCTCTGTTGCTGATGTGCAGTTTTAATCTATGGTGGTCAGATAGGATGTAGGGTGAAACTTGCTTTGTGTCTGAATCTGCAGTCAGTTTTGAAGAAAGTTCCACCAGGTGTTTCAGAGGAAATGCACTGTTTTCGTTTGGATTAAATGTTCTGTAAATATCTATCAAGGTAATTTGGTTTAAGATGCAAGTTATCTCCAACTTTTCTCTGTTTAGTTTTTGTCTTGGTGAAATTTGGGTACTGAATTCACCCACTCTCAGTGTGAGAACCAATATGTGATTTTAGTTTTGTGGTGTTTCTTTTATAAACTTTGGTGCCCTTGTTTTTGATATATAGATTTACAATGTCCTTTTGGTAGATTTTTTTCTTTGATGAGTATCTAGTGTTCTTCCCTGTCTCTACTGAATAGTTGTGGTTTGAAGTTTATATTTTTCAGATGTTAAATGGTTACACCAGCTTAATCCTTGGGTCTATTTATTTGGAATATCTTTTTACATTTTTCTACTCTGAAGTAGTTTTATCCTTGATGTTAAGGTATATTTCCTGGACACAGTAGAAGAATGATTCCAGTTTTTCTATTTGCTATGTTAGTCTTTATCTTTTCATTGGAAAATTGAGACCATTAATACTGAGTCATCTATGAACAGTATTTGTTGGTTTCCCTTTGTGCTGGCTAGTTTTACATCAATTGGACACAAACTGGAATCATCATAGATGAAGGAGCCTTGATTGAGAAAATGCCTCCATAAGATGAGGTTCTAGGTAAACCTACAGGGCATTTTCTTAATTAATGATTGATGATGGGGGGGTCTAGTCCATTATAGATGGTACCACCCTAGGTTGGTGGTTCTAGGTTCTATGAACAAACAGGCTGAGCAAGTCATGAGAAGTAAGCTAGTAAGCAACACTCCTCTATGGCCTATGGATCAGTTTCTGCCTTCAGGTTCCTGCTTTGTATTAGTTCCTGTTCTGACTTACTTCATTGCTGAACAGTGATAGGGAAATGTAACTCAAAAACCTTCTTCCTCCCCAAGTTGTTTTAGATGTGGTGTTTCATCACATCAGTTGCAGCACCAACTGAATCACCACTATTTTGTTATGGTGTGGGATCTCCCCTCCCTTTTTTAATTTGCAGGTCTGAGACGATTATTTCTTGGGTTTTCTTGGGTGTGGTCATGTAGATAGATGCTGCTTATATTTGGCTTATATTAGAATGTCTTCCTCCATCTATTGTTATTGAATGTTTTGCTGGTAATAGTAGTCTGGGCTGGCATCTGTGATCTCTAAGTACTTCTGGCTATTAGAGTCTCCACTGAAAACTGGAATGTTATGCTAAAAAGGTCTATCTTCATATGCTACTTGATGTTTTTCCCTTTACATTCTTCCTTTATTCTGTACACTTACTGTTTTGATTATTTTATGTCATGGGGAGCTTCTTTTCTGATCTAGTCTATTTGGTGTTCTGTATGCTTCTTATACTTCGATAGATAACTCTTTCTTTAGATAAGGGAAATTTTTTCTATGGTTTTTGTTGAAAATATTTTCTGTTCCTTTTTTCTGAGTTTCTTTTCCTTCCTCTATTCTTGTTATTCATAGTTTTGGTCTTTTCACAGTATGCCAGATTTCCTAGATGTTTTGTGCCCAGATTTTTTTATTTTTATTTTTATTGTATTTAACATTCCCTTTGACCAAGGTATTGATTTCTTCTATCTTGTCTTCTGTGATTGAGAGTCTCTCTTCCATTTTTAGTTGTAGTCTATTGATGAAACTTTCCTTTGAGCTTTCTGCATGAATTCCTAAATTTTTCATTTCCAATTTTACCTCAGTTTGGGTTTTCTTTAATGATTCCATTTCCACATTCTTTTCATTCCACTGTTTGTGTTTTCATGGATTTCTTTAAGGGATTTTTTCCCCATCTCTCTTTAAGGAGCTTGAGTATGTTCATAGACGTCCTTTCTTGTGCATCAGCTATATTTTATTTCTCAAGGTCTCCTGTTGATGAGTTGATGGGCTTTAGTAGAGACATGTGGTCCCAGCTATTATTGGTTGTGTTTTTATGCTGGTGGCAAGACATCTGAATTTGAGATCATTGTAATTCTAGCTGCTGATAGCTGCTCTTGTCTTTGTTAAGAGGGTTTCATTTTTGGTTTTCTATTGTTCTCTCAGATTCTTGGGAGAATGTGGTTTGCCTGGTAGGGTATATTCCTGAAATCCAGGTGTGGCCACGCGGGTAAAACTTGTTTCTAGGTATTGGGAGCTGACACTAAGGAATGTGAATGAGTTAGAGGGGCGGGACTGTGGGAGCAGAGGGAGGAAATCTGGGTGTGCCACCAAGATCTATGCAGACCTGGGAAATGGAGGCAGAGGAAGGAGAAGCCACAAGTTGTCTGCTACAAAGATGAGGCTAAGACTGGAGAATTTTAACTGAAGAAGAGGAGGGAGAGTGAAAATCGCCTACCTGATTCCCTGACCACCATGGCCAGGGGGTTTCCAGGGAGTGCCTGTGGGTGGTGGCTGGGACATAGAACTGAAGCAGTAGAGGAAGGCTGTAGGAGAAGATCTGCATGATCACTGGGAATGGGGACAGAGAGGAAGGGGGGCTGCAGTGGATGGTTTGCTATAAAGCTCTTTTTATTGCTCCTGGTTAGTTTGGATTTGAAATCTTTAAGAGATGTGAAAAATCTCTGTGTTGATTTATTGGTCTACTGCAACTTCCATTTGCTTGGAAGATGAATTTCTAGCCCTTGACTCTCATATTTTAGATGTCTTTCTTACTTTTATAGTTAGAGTTTCTATTGCTGTGAAGAGACACCATGACCTGAACAACTCTTATAAAGGAAAACATTTAACTGGATGGCTTATGGTTCAGAGGTTCAGTCCATTATCACGACCCCAGTTCATTTTAGTGTGCATGCAGACATGGTGAAGAGCTGAGACTTCTACATCTTGATCTGATAGCAACAGGAAGTTGGGTGTGGCTTGGACATATATGAGACCTCAAAGACCTCCTCTACAGTGACACTTCCTCCAACAAAGCCACACCTCCTAATAGTGCCACTATCTATGAGCTTGTGGGGGCAATTACAAACTACCACACTTACTAATGTTAAGTTCTGAAAAACAACAGATAGAAAGTTCTTGCTTTTTATCTAGTCAGTCTGAGTATTAATAACTAGCACACAGTAGTTGTAAGAGTGGCAGTGTAATGGTGTGACAGCAGTCCCAGTGTCAGCTGGTAGCCTACTTGTAACCTTTATGATTTGGAAACAGAAGCACTAGGGTGTTGATTTGGTTGTGGAATATGCAGCTTACAGAGAGTTTGGGAGGAGGAGTTGTTATTTGCTTTTCTCTTTTTGTTTTTGTTTTGTGCAAGGAGGGAATTGATATTTAAGTAGTGAAGTAAAGAGTGAGAAGAGGTAATAATGGAGATGGTAACAATGAAAAGGGAGAGAAATAGGCTGGGGGTAGAAAACACAGCAAAACACATTGTATATTTGGTGTAAAGAAAAGAAAGATAGATATAAGAGCCGTTTCCAACAACACACAAGCCAAAACATCAACTGAATGCTTCAAATACACAAATGTGCATATCAAAAAGAATCTTAAAGGTCAAAGAGAGATATGCCTGTAAACTAGGAAATTCAAATTTAAAATTAAAAAGATATTAAGTCAAATAAGCAGTAAAATGAAATAGAAGGTATTATGTTCTCAGCTACTGCTTCTTTCTGCTTTGGTGGAGCAAGTGTTGCCTCTGTTTACCTTAGTTCTGTCAAGTACTAGCTGGCCTGCCACAGGGGAGTCATTGCCAGAGTACACTGGATTAGGCCTTGGGAGAACTGGAGTTCACCTAAAGCCAAGATTGCCTGTGTGTTGTTACCAGGGCTGCAGGGCTTGCCTTGTGTTTGGAGTTTCTGCTTTCTCTTGTCCCCTGCAGTTCCCAACTATGGGGTATAGGGATGGGGGTATTGTCTGTTTCCTACTTGCAATGCATCATCTATGTGCTTTTTCATACCCTTTTGGTGTTCTACCACCTCTTTCTCAATTTCCAATGTTCTTTCGTTCCTCAAGACATGGTTTATCCTTCACCACCCTGACTCTTCTTATTCATGGAGTCATACAGGAAATTTCTAGCCTGTCATCACTCCCTGGAGTGACCACCGTCACTACTTTTTGCTTTAGTCAAATGAATGCATATTAACATCTCTTTGTGGTTTTAATTTACATCTTCCTGATGGCTAATTATGTTTAACATTTCTCTTTCTCTCCTTTTCTTAGTTTTCTAGTTGTATGTTTTCACTTATGAGTTTTAAGTGTTTAGTATAGATACAAGTCCTTCATGTGGTTTGAATATAAACAATTCTCTCTACAGCTTGTTTTCTGATTATCTTTATGTTGCCTTTAATTTTGATTAAGTTAAACTGATTAGCCTTTTCATTATTAATAATGCTTTTGGTGGCAGGACAGGCATTTTTGACTATTTCTAGATTATGAAGATTTTCTTCTATACATTTTCATAATATTGTTTTGTATTATATATGTAAAACTATGACCCATTCCAAATTCACTTGGTGTATAAGATGGATTTCCCATTATTCTAGCATCCATTTGTTGAGACAACTGTCTTAGATTCTGTCACAGAATCAACTTTTGAATCCGTCTGAAGTATCATTTGGGTATATTTGCATGAGTCTATTTCTGGGAACTTAATATAGTGATATATTTGTCTCTTCACTATTAGCACAGACCTTAAATATTTCTCAAAATATCTTGGAAGATTTTCCCCACCTTATTCTTTAACCTATCCTACTGTATCCTTTGATTTTTCCGTATAAATTTTATAATAATACAAGGAATACTGTCTACTCAAGGAATACTGTCTACTATTGCTATTGAAATTTTGCTAAAAATTGTTTTCAACCTTTTTTGAAAAATTATGTGCATCAGATGGCCCTGATTAATCTTGGGGGCTTCAAAACAAAATGAATAGACATGAACATGAGAAAAAGATTCATGGGGAGGAGGGAGAATGGACAGAGCGGTAAGGAAATGGGAAGTATATACATGAAACTGTAAAATAAACAACCAAAGATAACATAAGAAACTGAATGTAAAATAAAAAATTAAATATGGAGTAAGTGTGTGTGTGCACGCATGTATGTGCATGTGTGTGAACATGTTACACAAGGCAGGTAAAGGTCAGAAAACAACTATTTTGGAATTGATTGTCTCTTTCCATCATGGGTTCCCAGTCAAGAAGCAGAGTGGTGTAGGAGGTTCTTCTGTTTATGTGTTGCTTTTATTGGTTAATGAATAAAGAAACTGCTTTGGACCTGATAGGGCAGAACTTAGGTAGGCAGAGAAGACAGAACTGAATGCTGGGAAGAAGGGCAGAGTGAGAGAATTCCTGGATCCTCTGCCTGAGACAGATGCCGATTAGAATCTCCGGTAATCCACACACACAGATTAATGGAGATGGGTTAAACTATATGTAAGAGTTAGACAATAAGAAGTTAGAGCTAATGGCCAAGCAGTGGTTTAATTAATACAGTTTCTGTGTGGTTATTTCGGGTGTAAGCTAGCTGGTCGGCTGGGACAAACAAGCGGCTCTCCCTTTGCAGCAGCAGAGAGTAATGAACACTTGTGTGTCATGGAGTAATCTTCTTGTACACTGTGAAGATGTGTCTTTGCCAGGGTGCCTTCTGATTAGTTGAATAAAAGGCTAAGTGGCCAATAGCCAGGCAAGTAGAAGTTAAGCGGGACTTGTGGACAAAAAGAGAGACTAGGGATGAAAAAAGGCAGAGTTGTGAGTCACATGCAGAGAAAGCAGGAGATGAACATGCCAGGCTGTATAAAGGTACCACCACATGGTAGAGCATTGGTTAGAAATATGGGTTAATTTAAGATGCAAGTGCTGGTTAGCAACAAGCCTAAGCTATCAGTTGAGCTTTTATAAGTAATAATAAGTCTCTGAGTGGTTATTAGGGGACCAGTGGTCCAGATAAAACCCCACCTACACTTGTTCTCACCTTGCTTTCTCCTTATTCAGTCCTGAATCCCAGCCCTTAGAACAGCACCACTCATATTTAAGTTGGATTTTCCTACCTCAAGTAACCCAATCTAGACAACCTCTCACAGAAATGCCTGTCTTAGGTAATGTTCTATTGCTATAAAAAGACACCATGATCCTGCATTTAATTAGGGCTGGCTCGCAGTTTCTGATGTTTAGTCCTTTATCAGCATGGCAGGAAGCACAGTAACATATAGGCAGACATGGTGCTGGAGAAGGAGCTAAGAGTTATCAAGTCCTCAGGCAGCAGGAAGAGAGACTCACTGGGTGTATTAGTCAGGATTCTCTAGAGCTTATAGAATGACTCTGTGTGTGTGTGTGTGTGTGTGTGTGTGTGTGTGTGTGTGTGTGTGTGTTGTATATATGTGTGTATGCATGTATATATGTATGGATACAGAATTTATTGGAATGACTTACAGACTAAAGTCCAGCTGAACAGAAAGTCTAAGAATCCAGGAGTTGCTCAGTCCACAAGACACAAGGATGTCTCAGCTAGTCTTCCAGTATAGGCTGTAATCCTAAAGAAGTAGGCACTAATATACCAGTGAAGGAAAGAATGTGCTGGCAAAATAGGGAAGCAGGCAAAAAATGCAAACTTCCTTCTTTTATGCCCTTATATAGACTTCCAGCAGTCGTAGTCCAGATTAAGGGTGTCATCCTGTCTCAAGATCCATATCAAAGGTATGTGTCTTCCTACCGCAAAGGTCTGGACTAAAAGTGGGTTCACCCACTTCAAACCAAGCAAGAAAAAATAAACCTCTCACAGGTGCACTTGGTTGTACATTCATTCATTATTTTATTGTAGTTACTTTTAAGATTACAATCTATTACTTGATTGTAGTTTATTCAAGATGCAGTTAAATTGACAACCAATAATAGCCATTGCATTGGGCTTGGCCTGCCCTCAGTGATACTCTTCCTCCAGAAAGGTCATACTTCATAAGTCTTTCAAATAGTACCATTCCCTAAGCATTCAAATATATGCACTTATGGGGGTCATTCTTATTCAAACTACCAAAATGCCCAAAGACTTGTTTCTATAGTGGTTCTAAAATCCATCAGTTGACAATTATGTTCACCCATCAGGTGTACACACGTAAAATATACACCCAAAGGCACTAAATAAATGCATTAAAATCTTAAGGATTATATTGTGATTGGCAAACATTCTATATGATTTCAATTATTTTAAATTTGTTGAAGTTTGGCTTATAGTTTAGGAAATGGAAAATCTTGACTATTAAAAATGGTATTTTGTGGTTCTTAGATTATTATATAAAAGCAGTTTACAGCCTATTGATTGATGGTAATCTTAAATTTTTCTATATGTTTTCTATTGCTGTTTAACTATTGTATCAACTATTAAGGCAAAGAAAGATATTGAAGCCTCTAGTTATATATGTAGATTTGCTTAAAATTGTAAAATCCCAACAGTGTTTACATCACACATTTTGCAACAATTTTGTCTTGTGCAAATACCTTTAGCATTTATGTGACATCTTGTTGGGTAACCTTTTATCAATATACAATATCCTTGTCCCTGATTATTTTCTTTATTCTGCTATCAAGTTTTCTGCTTTGTCTGCAGTTTGTTGATATAACTACTTCTGTGTTTGATTGAATAATATTTGAATGATATATATCTATATATACTTTTACTTTTAATTGCTCATATCATATTTCAACTGGGTGTCATATAAACAGGATTCGGTATAGCCATGTTTATAATCCAATCTACTAATTCTGTATTTTTAATTTTATATAAACATTTATATTAAAAGTGATTATTGACATGTTAGGACTTAATCCTACCTCTGTGCTTTCTCTATTCTCTATTTTTCTTTGTCCATCTTATCTGTCTGTCTTCTTTTCAGTTACTGGACAGTTTTTCTGTAATTACATTTGTATGAATATTTTGATGAATTATTTAATAGCTTTTTAAATGTTTCTTTAGATATTTTACCATATATGCACAAATTATGGTCATCTAATAACATCCTTTTGCTAATTAAAGTGCTGGAACCTAAATGCACCCAATCCCATCTTGTCCAAAATGTTGAAATCTACCTCTCTTTCTGTGTTTATATTTTGGGTTTATCCAATGGGATTGAACAATAGAAAAGGTTCTCAGTCAATGGCATATACTTGCTCTAACCAGAAAGATGTAGACAAGTAATTACACCTGACCACATCTAACTGTCAATTACCTTGGTAATCTACCCTGGAATTTATGTTTTCTGAGTAGATAGCACAAAATATCAGAATATTTTACCAATGGGAAACCCAATTAATATCTCTACATATTAACTATTTTATTTTTATCATGAATCATTAATTATTATTTGATTGTTCTTTTCTGACTATGCTTAATGCTCATATGTTCTGTTTCATTTGTCTGTATCACATCAAGTTGAACAAACTATACTTAGCTCTACACTTAGTTTCAAATTTTCCTTTTCTTCTATATACCAGATTTGAACATTTTTAATAATACAGAAAATACACAGTATAGTTGACAACCATACAAAGGATGATCTACGAATGGAAGTATCCCCAAATACTTCATATATACAGAAAATCAAAAAAGAGAGCTGCCAATGATGTGCACAGTTCGTATGAAAGTGCTGTGCATTTGTATTTAGTGGTTTTTCTCTTGGTTGACATAAAATAAACTGAACTTTTCAAATGTTGTGACATACACATATTTTACCTACTTAAAAATGGCATGTTTCACGTTTTCACTTACAAACTACAACATCATGTTTCTTCTTCTCTATACAGATATCAGAATGGCAGAGAAACTCAACCTTCCAAAAAATACTGATGACTGGACTAAAGAGGACGTAAACCTGTGGTTACAAAGCCATAAGATTGACCAAAAGCACCGGGAAACCTTGATGGCACAAGATGTGAGTGGAGCAGTCTTGAAGTGGTTAAATAAAAACAATCTTATTGAAATGGGCCTAACCCATGGACCAGCTATCCAAATAGAAGAGCTATTCAAAGAATTGCAGAAAGCATCTTCAAAACATTCTACTCAGACATCTAAGGGGAAAAAGGGTAACAAAATGACTCCTAAAACACAGACAGAAAGTAGAGAGACTTCAAAGCAAAACCAAAGGAGTGAAGAGAATGCAGATAAGGCTGATGCCTCTACAGTGAGGCCAGAGACTAAAGGGTCTAAATCAGAAAAAAGAAATGAGCTGATGGAAGACAAGACAGAGCAACAGGGTGAACAGTCACCTCCAGGACCAACATGTGTTGCATACCCTTTCAATGAATTCAGTAATCCATATCGTTACAAATTACATTTCATCCTACAGCCTGAAACAGGGCCGCTTAATCTCATCGACCCAGTACATGAATTCAAAGCCTTCACAAACACAGAAACAGCCACAGAAGTGGACATTAAGATGAAATTTAGCAATGAGACTTTCCGGTTTGCTTCAGCTTGTATGAATTCACGTACTAACGGCACCATTCATTTTGGAGTCAAAGACAAGCCCCAAGGAAAAATTGTTGGCGTGGAACTAACCATGGTCACTAAAGACGCCCTAATTGACCACTTCAATCTGATGATAGACCGGTATTTTGAGGTCCATCAGGTCCAACAAGCAAAGAAGTGTATCCGAGAGCCAAGATTTGTGGAAGTTTTATTGCCAAACAGTACTCCATCCAACAGATTTGTTATTGAGGTAGATGTCATACCACAATACTCTGAATGCAGAGAAGACTTTTTCCAGATCAAAATGCAACATCTTAAGACCCAAACATGGCAACCAAGTTCAAAGTACTCAGTCTTTGTGCGAGATGGGCCCAAAAGTAAGGATATCATAGGGAATAAGGTTGATTTCAAAGCCTTTAAGTTAGACTTAAAAGCAGTGACAGAGTCTAGGAAAGAAGCAGAAGCAAAATGCAAAGTAAAACCCGACGGAAACAAGGGCGAGGGACAGAAGCTAATTGAACTGTTGACAGGAAACCAGGACCTGTTAGATAACTCATACTATGAATGGTACATACTTGTCACAAATAAATGCCATCCTGATCAAAACAATCACTTAGACTTCCTAAAGGAAATTAAATGGTTTGCTGTGTTGGAGTTTGATCCTGAATCTGAGAGCAAAGGTGTAGTCAAGGCTTTCAAAAGAAGCCGAGTAGCAAATCTCCACTTTCCAAGCCAATTTATGGAAGGAAAAAATACATTGAATGAGAGAATTTCCAGTCTGAATCTTTACCAGCAACCCAGCTGGATTTTCTGCAATGGCAGGTTAGACCTTGAGAGTGAGAAATACAAACCCTTAGATCCAATTTCTTGGCAAAGAGAAAGAGCTTCTGAGGTCAGGAAGCTGATTTCATTTCTTACACATGATGACATAATGCCCAAAGGGAGATTCCTGGTAATATTTTTATTACTGTCCCCGGTGGATGACCCAAGAGACCCTCTTATTGAGACTTTCTGTGCTTTCTATCAGGATCTTAAAGGAATGGAAAATATACTGTGTATTTGTGTACACCCAGACATATATCAGGTATGGAAAGACCTTCTTGAAGCAAGGCTATCAAGACAGCAAGATGAAATATCAAGCCAAAGCATTTCTACTTTAAATATTGCAGAGATAAATGGCACTATTCTTAAGTTAAAATCTTTAACTCAGTCTTCAACGCGATTCTTGCCATCTGTTGGTTCATCTACAGTCCTTCTGAAAAGGGAAGAAGAAGTCATGACTGCCTTGGAAATTCTCTGTGAGAATGAATGTGAAGGTACACTCTTGGAAAAAGACAAAAAGAAATTACTTGAATTCAAGACATCCAAAGAGGAAGACTTCTACAGGGGTGGTAAAGTATCCTGGTGGAACTTCTACTTCTCTTCTGAGAACTATTCTTCATCATTTGTGAAAAGAGATAAATATGCAAAACTTGAAAAAAAAATTCAAGAATGGGCAGATTCTTCTCAACCAGTTTGTGCAAGAATTATCCATCTCTATCATCATCCAGGCTGTGGAGGAACTACTTTGGCCATGCATATTCTCTGGGAGCTAAGAAAGAAATTCAGATGTGCTGTGCTGAAAAATAAGACAGAGGATTTCTCAGAAATCGGGGAACAGGTGACTAATTTAATCACCTATGGAGCAACGAGCCATCAAGAGTACTTACCTGTGCTGCTTCTTGTTGATGATTTTGAGGAACAAGATAACGTCTACCTTCTTCAGTCCTCCATTCAAACTGCTGTTGCTAACAAACATATTAGATATGAGAAGCCTCTGGTGATCATTATAAATTGTACAAGGTCACAAAATCCTGAGAAAAGTGCAAAGACCCCAGACAGTGTTGCTCTAGTACACCAACTGTCTGACAAAGAGCAGAGAGCATTTGAGCTTAAATTGAAAGAAATCAAAGAACAGCATGAAAAATTTGAAGATTTTTATTCTTTTATGATCGTGAAAACAAGCTTTAACAGAGAGTATATAGAAAATGTGGTCAGGAACATTCTGAAAGGGCAAAATGTCACCACCAAGGAAGCAAAGCTCTTTGCTTTTCTGGCTCTTCTTAACACATATGTACCTGACACTACCATTTCCCTCTCACAGTGTGAGCATTTCCTAGGAATCTCAAACAAGAAGGCTTTCTGGGGAACAGAAAAGTTTGAAGACAAGATGGGTACCTACTCTACAATTCTAATCAAATCAGAGGTGATAGAATGCGGGAGCTACTATGGAGTGCGCATCATTCACCATGAGATTGCCACTGCCTCACTGGAAGAATTGAAGAGAAGCTACAACTTGAACAAAAGTAAAATCGTGATGGATATGCTCACAGAAAATTTGTTCTATGACACAGGTATAGGAAAAGACAAGTTTTTCCAAGACATGCAAACACTTTTGCTCACAAGACAGCGTGATGAGCATGAAGGTGAGACAAGGAACTTGTTCTCCCCATTCATCGAAGCATTACATAAAGAAGAAGGAAATGATGCAGTTAAAGATGTATTACTTGAAGCTAATCGTAGGTTCAACCCCAATGCATTCATTTGCCAAGCCTTAGCAAGACATTTCTACCTTAAAGAGAAGGACTTTACAAATGCTCTTTTTTGGGCAAAACAAGCAAGAAAGATACAACCTGATAATTCCTACATCTCAGATACACTAGGTCAAGTCTACAAAAGTAAAATAAGATGGTGGATAGTTGACAATGTAAGAAATGGGACTATCTCAGTTGATGATCTAACTGATCTGTTAGATTTAGCTGTGCATGCATCCAATGCTTTCAAAGATTCTCAACACCAAACTGAAGATAGAGAGTATGAAGGGAAAGAAAGGATGCATCAGAAGTCTAAAAGGAGGTATGATACTTACAACATAGCTGGTTATCTAGGGGAGATAGAAGTGGGACTCTTCACTATCCAGATCCTCCAACTCATTCCTTTCTTTGACAACAAAAATGAACTATCTAAACGAGATATGATCAACTTTATATCAGGAAAATGTGATATCCCAGGGAACCTAAATGAATTTAAGTCAGCACTCAAGAATTTTATTCCTTATCTAACTAACCTGAAGTCTTCTTTGAAGAGATCCTTTGACTTTTTTGATGATTACTTTGTCCTTCTAAAACCCAGAAACAATATAAAGCAATATGAAGAGGCTAAAAGTCGGAGAAAGGTAGGTTTATACTTTAAGATGTATGTAGAAATATTTGGCCCCGTGGAAGAATCACAAAATCAAAACTTTAGATCAAAGCTCAGTCTACCACTTCAAGTAGAAAAGACTCGGAGAAGCCTAGAAGCTTTAAAAGCAGACAAGTTTTCTGGACTCTTAGAATATCTTATCAAAAGTCCAAAAGATGCTGTGGGTTCCATGGAAGACATAGTGAACAAATACACTTCCCTTCTTGAGCAAGGTGTTATCAAAACCCAGCAAAAGGAAAAGCAAAATTTCATCTTGGCCAACATCATCCTCTCTTGTATTAACCCTACCTCCAAATTAGTGCAACCACTGAAAAGACTGAAAGAGCAGCTTCGAGAGATCCTGCAATCAATTGGACCGAATTACCAGTTTTCAGAACCTTATTTCCTAGCTTCTCTTTTATTTTGGCCAGAAACCCAAAACCTAGATCAAGATTCTAAACAAATGGAAAAGTATGCTTGGGCACTTGAAAATTCTTTCAGGGGGCAATATAAACGCATGTATCGCACAAAGCAACCAATTGCATATTTCTTTCTTGGGAAAGGCAGCAATAGAAACAGACTTATCCACAAAGGGAAAATTGATGAAAATTTCGAAAAAGTATCTGATATTAATTCTTGGTGGCATAGTGGAAAAGTATGGGAAGAGGAAAAAGTTCAGGACCTTTTGAATCGTTTACAGGGACGAGCTGAAAACAACAATTTATACATAGAGTATGGAATCAATGAAAAAATCACAATACCAATTTCACCTGCTCACTTAGGTCAACTTAGAAGTGGGAGGAGCATAGAAAAGGTGTCTTTTTATCTAGGGTTTTCCATTGGAGGCCTTCTTGCTTATGACATTAAAACTGTTTAAGATCTTGAGTTTCTTTATCTAGAAATGTGGTTTTAGTATCATCTTTTTTTCTTTAATTTGCTTATAGATATAATTCAGTAATTTGTGTAGTGGGAATGGGAGTAGTCGAAGAAAAGTAAGATTGAACTTCAGGCTATTTCTGTACAATGGGTACATAGAATCCTTTTTACTTTTCCCTCTGTATAACCATGTTGTCAAGAAATTACTCTAAAATATCCACAAAATAAAATGAAGCCAAAATATATAATTTGTTTTGATCATCATAGTCTCACTAGAATCCTCCTGGGAGGAGATTCCTTCCTGCCTCCTACATAAAATACATCTCCATAATTTATCAGTTCACTTTTTACTTTTACTTGACAAATACATACTTATGGTAACCAATGTGATGTTTTGAAATATGCATACATTACAAAATGATTAAACTAAATTAAGTTGAAGAATATATCTATTGATTCTCAAACTTACATCTTGTTATAAGAATATCTGAAATTCTCCTAGCAATTCTCTATCTGTGTGTGTGTGCATGTGTTTGCTTGTTTTGTTTTTGTTTTGAATCAGGGTCTCTTTATGTAGTCCTGCCTGTCCTGGAACTCACTAAGTAAAACAGGCTGGCCTCAAACTCAGAGATTGACCTGCCTCTGCCTTCCAAGTTCTAGGACTAAAGGGGTACGCCACCATATCCAGCCTAGAATTTTTAATAATGTGCTGCTTTGTTCTTAAGTATCATCATACTATACAATAGAGCCTCTCGTCTACCTTGAGCCTCATACCCTTTTACTAGTATCACTTCATTTTCAATACTTTCCTAGTAATTGCCATGTACTCTTTTTCTAGTGCCTTTGCTCCCATGAGTTCAGTTTCTTGGGTTCCACATTTATGTGAGATTATAGATTTTTCCATACTTATTTTATTCCTGACAGATGGTGATAGCTTAAGATTATTATTGGTGAAGATATTTTAGTGATTTCTAAAAATAATCCCTCTAAGCAAACACAGTCTCAGTATAGAAGTTAGGGTATCTGGTCATGTTTTTTTCTGTCTGAGTCAGGTTTCAGTGCATTCTGCATAGAATCACCACTGCTGAAGTCTTACCTTCACAGCTGATTCTTTTGAGCTCAATATCTTTTGGGTCAAGCACTGTCTCCCTCATGACCCACCCTGAGTACACAGCAAGCACACGTGTTTATTTCACCATTGAAAAATGGTGCAGCTGATTTCTAGTTGCAATTGCAAGATGCCTTGTAAATTTAGGGTGATATGCATCAAGCCCTCTCAGAAAGCTATCTGAACAATTTCTGTGCCTAGATTCCTTTGGTAGACTGAGGAACTTTTTTCAAAAGTACCTCCTCATAAATGGTTGGTGCTTCAGAGATCTCATCTAGATACATGAAGCTCTAGTTCAGTCCCCAGAGCTAAAATAAATAAATAATTTTGAGACAGAAGACAGAGTTCAGTGATAAATCACTTACCGGGCATTTTCAAGGCACTACGTTCAATCCCCTGTACTGAAACAGTAATATTTTTAAAGAGTCTCTTTCTAAACTCTGATTTTATCAATGCCAGCAGTAGGCAAGCTACAGACTATAGGATAAAGCAAATATTTTTACAAATATTGTTTTATTTACCCCAACATGAGTAAGGAGTACCTCTTTTTGAGTTTCTAGTCATGGGGATCAAAAACACTAATGATGGCCTATGCTGGAGAGGATGTGAAATAAGGGGAACACTCATCCATTGTTGGTGGGAATGCAAACTTGTGCAGTTACTTTGGAAATCAGTGTGGCGGTTTCTCAGGAAACTGGGAGTCAACCTCCCTCAGGACCCAGCAATTCCACTCTTGGGAATATACCCAAGAGATACCCTATCATACTACAAAAGCATTTGTTCAACTATGTTCATAGCAGCACTATTTGTAATAGCCAGAACCTGGAAACAACCTAGGTGCCCCTCAATAGAAGAATGGTTAAAAAAGGTGTGGAACATATACACATTGGAGTTTTACTCAGCGGTAAAAAAAAAAAAAATGACATCTTGAATTTTGCATGCAAATGGATGGAAATAGAAAACGCTTTACTGAGTGAGGTAATCCAGACCCAAAAAGAGGAATATGGTATGTACTCACTCATAAGTGAATTCTAGTCATAATTAAAGGCCACTGAGCCTTTAATTCATGATCCTAGAGAAGCTAAATAAGAAGGTGAACCTAAAGAAAATCTATAGTTATCATCCTGGATATTGGAAATAGACAAGATTTCCAGGCAAAACTTGGGTGCACAGGGGTGTGGGAGGTAGATGTAAGGGGAGATGGGTAGAGAGAAGGGAGAAGGGAAGGATTGGGGAGAGCTTGGGGGAATTGGATGGGTGGGATGGAGGAAGGGTGGTTATGGGAGCAGGGAAGTAAATATCTTAATTAAGGGAGCCATTTTAAAGTTTGCAAAAGACTTGACTCTAGAGGGGTTCCCAGGTCCAAGGAGAGGTCCCCAGATTGTTCCTTGGGCAGCAGAGGAGAGGGTGCCTGAACTGACCTTGTCCCATAGCCACACTGGTGAATATCTTGCATATCACCATAGAACCTTCATCTGGTGATGGATAGAGATAGAGACAGAGACACACATTGGAGCACTGGACTTAGCTCCCAAGGTCCAAATAAGGAGCAGAAGGAGGGAGAACATGAGCAGAGAAGTCAGGACCACGAGGGATGCGTCCACCCACTGAGACAGTGGGACTGATCTAATGGGAGCTCACCAAGGTCAGCTGGACTGGGAGTGATGGATCATGTGATCAAATATTGGACACTCTGAATGTGGCTGTCAATGAAGGCTGAGAAGCCAAGGACAAAGGCACTAGGTTTTGATTCTACCGCATGGACTGGCTTTGTGGGAGCCTGGTTTGTTTGGATGCTCACCTTTATAGACCTGGATGGAGAGGGGAGGACCTTGGACTTCCCACGGAGCAGGGAACCCTGACTGCTCTTAGGACTAGAGAGGGATGGGGAGGGGACAGGGGGAGGAGGTGGAAATTTGTAATAAATAAATTAATTTATTTAAAAAAAAGAAACTGCCAAAATATTATAAGCTGTTGCCATTATGCTTAGCTATCTGCCAGACATGAACGTAAGGCCCTATTGCTGAAGAAACCACACTTTGTCACAGGTCTTGACTAAATCAAGCTGGTACTGACATGGAAGCCTCCTTCCTGATGGCTAGTTTCCAAATGAGAAAAGAAATTAGTACTCCCACCCAGCTATAAAGCTTAAGAATCACAATAAAAATATGACCAACATTATGTCCTCAGTGGAGTGATACATGGACTTGTATCTTGAGAGTAGCCAATGGCTGTCTAACTTAGTCTAAAACTCATTCTATTGGAGAGAATTCACATGTATAAATCTAGCAAAGAACCTAGGCCCCAGAGGAGACTTCATGACTACCATGTTTTTAAAGTACTATAGTTTCCAACTACTTTGTAAACACTCATTTTTGTACCCACATAGATAAGTGCAGCTCTCACATCTCATCAAAAATCTTCTCTTCCTAACATGTGGAGACTATTAGAGCATTCTACAACTTGACAAAATTCAGACAATGACCATGGTGTGGTTGGTTTTAAATTGGAGCCCTTGTACCTAGGGCTCAGAGAACATTGTGGGAGGGGTGACAGAAAGACTTAAGTCAGAGGATCAAGATGACTATGCAATAATTTTTTGTAGACAGTACAGGGATGTTTCGATCATGAACTCAGAACAAAATGGCAGCCTACACAAGACCTACAAAGACCACACAAATTGGCATGCCAACATGGACAGGAAAAAAGTTCACAAGTCTCCACCCCTAAGTGAAGAACTACAGGAAATGAATGACTGTTGAGAAAAGAAGAACTGAAGTGGTGGTGGTGTTGTTATTGTTTTTGTTTGTTTGTTGATGACTTTCAGGTATGAGATTCCTACCCTAAGCCAAGAAATAAACCTTAAATACATGCAAATAGGACAACACTAATTGGGCTTAGATATTGTGTGTGTTATTTTCTGTATCCCAATTCAACCTAACCAGGAAGGCAAAATGATTTCTTAGAAAAAGTATTGACTGGGTCACTGTAAAACAGCTAAATTAATTAACTCAATAATCAAACAAATAGATTTAGCAATGCTCCCCAAAGAAGTAGCAGCCTGGAAATGGGGCTTAGAAAATATACAATATCAACCACAAAGAATCAATTATAAAAAAGTCTTTAAAAAAAAGAAACAAGAAGCCAGAGAATGGGACTCTGTTAGGCACCCCCAAGAAGTAAGTTCAAGAATAAAAGGACTTTTTAAATGATTAGGAAGAAGAAGGAGTAAATGTCAGAGATCTGGCAAATGAAAGATGCTTCAGTCTTTTCTCTACCCTCTCGCTTGGGGTCAAACTTGCAACAGTCTGATGGCTTTTCTCACTCTCACCAGAATCTGTTTACTCTATATACACATAAGATAGGTACATATATACTTTATATACACAAGGAGAAAGATGAGTATCCTCTTGAATCTACTATTGATTCTATTTCCCTGGAGACCTCCAACACTCCCCTGGAAACCCACATGTCATCAGATGAGCTGTACATCTCCCAGAAACCAGCCTTAGAGTACTTGTGATCAGTTCTGAGTCTAAGGTAAGAATAAGTCAGATATGTTAAACTAAGACAATTTGTTTCCAAATGCTTATGAAAGTGAGACGCTTTATTTCAACAAATGTCTTTCTGGAAGCTTTAAGTGAACTGAGAATTGAATAAAAAGGTTTTTATTATTGACCCAAATGTGGACTACAGAAAAAACTAAGGTATCTAGCACTGGAAAAGAAAGGAGCTGACCAGTGCAAAAAAGATCCAAAGATCATATAGCATGCAAAAGATCGTATAAAACAGGAAGTGGGTAGGAGACAGCTATAGCAGCATAATACTTGGTAAATAAACAAGGGGACCTGTGTTCAGTCTCCGGCACTGACAAAAAAACCCGGGTGGTAATCCCAGTGCTGGTGAAGCCTACTCTAATTGACAAACTCCAGGTCCCAGACTTTCTTTGGACCACCACCAGCTCCCAAATAATGACACGGAGACTTCTTAGTAATTACAGAAGCAAGGCCTTAGCTTAGTCTTGTTCCCAACTAGCACTCATAACTTAAATTAACCCATTTATATTATCCTACATTCTGCCAGGTGGCTCATTACCTCTTCTTCATACTGTATATCTGACTTCCTCCTTGTCTCAC